CAATTCTGTCCTTTAAGAAGGACATTGGGTGTTACGAGGATAATGGTGCAAGCTTAGAACAGCATAACCTCATTTCTAGCCATGGGTGACGTAAAAAGTGACTTGGGGAGGAATAAGTCAAAAGAATGGGCAGCTCAGTGAATACACGAGGCTGGCCAATCCGCCTCCAAATCGTAACATTGGCTATGTACATATTGCCCGACTAGAGGAAGGTAGGTGTCCAGCAGTAGATTACAAAAATGTAGGGACGGGTTAGTGATAAGGAACAACTTTACGTTCCCCATGGATACACATAGGTCAAATTATAAAGAAAATAAAATTGAACCACCCACTCATAGTAACTCAAAACAGCTGATCGGAAATTTATACTGGAGGATCAAGTTCTTTTTTCATATATCGCTGTATGTTTCTTGGGAAAAGTTATTTACTAGCCCGTCCTACAGTTTTTCAGCAGTTTAATTATTTCACCCAATATTTTGACATCATCATAAAGATTATTTCGTATAATAAATACCTACTAATACCTAATTTATTTTATTCCATTATGTGTAAACAAGTAATAAAAATAATGAAAACTTTTACTTACATAAAGAGATTTAGCCATTTTCACTAAGTTTGCTAGCAGGAACGGAACTGTTCACATAGACTCAAGATCAATACAATGGCTGCCACCTTTATACTTGGCATGTCTTATACACCATGGACGCCGTGACGAAACAAGATAATCATTGAAATCATTAAGAGGAAAATCATTTACTCATTACCCTGTAATCACTACCGCGTATGTCAAAGCCAGGGGTGGCAACAGTCCTTATGCTGCCTTTAAATTCGCGTCTATATCCCATGAGCCCTGCCCCCTTCACAAATGAGGCGTGCGACGCAAGACGTAAGAATTGACATTTCTCAGACCAGTGATCGTCAGCCGTCATCGTTACGACGCGCGTTTCCCGTGTAAAGACGGCGGCACCTCGTTTATTTCATACACTTTATATGGAAACGGTTTCATCACGATTTTGTGTTCAACGAAACGTATTGCGCCGACCCTAAGTAATTGGGATAAGGACAGGAAGATGATGATAATATGGAAACGGTTTCAAGCGTCGCAATTTCACACGTCTCACGTCTCCGTCTCATGTCTTACATCTCGCCTGTGGAATGTGAGCCTACAAAAAAAATATCAAAAAGGTTTATCTATCTTAGAATTCTCGGGACCAAAACTATAGTGTTCAACTGTTCAGCCGTAATTTTAGGGTTGGCATCATAAATCTTACACCTAACTTTGTAACACTCTGTACAATATGTCTTAAATTCGACGACTCGATTTTTTCATAACGAGTTCCAACGTTCCAACCCTTGCGCAATATCCTGCATTTTGCTCCTCCGACCCAACCCTGCCGATATCCTATAATTACCAGCTTGAATTGTCAGAGGAGTCGGATCCTCCCACGCGAGTGCCAGCTGCAGTAATCAATGGCTTTGCAATTAATTTCTTTGATTAATTAGTATTTTGCAAAAACACAATATGCGTCATAGATGTTATAGAGAAAATTAGGCTGGTACTCATGCCAGCTTTTTTCATAGTAATTTTCTGAAAATGTACTCAATACTGTTGTGGCTGTTATGCTATGGTATGGTATGGTAGGTACTCAATACACAAATCCTTTAGTTGAACTTTAGTGGATATACCTTCCATGCCTGATGTCCTATTTAAACCTCTCCTATTTCTATAGGTAGAACTTAGGCCAAAAATACACGCAACGTTCTTTTGTGCGTCATTCTTTCGATTCTCCTTCTTACCTTAATACGAATACGGTTTATGTCAAACGGCATCTTTTAAAAATGATTTTCAATTAGGGTAAAGTACGGATAGATGCGCACCTTTTGGAAAATGCTCTATAACTCAATAATTAAGAACTTATTTACAAAATTATCTTTACAGATTAAAGGATTGATCTTTAATCTTTCATTAAAGCCCTAATTCATGAATTTAATTTTTATTGTTTTGTTGTAAATCCAGTTTTATTTGACCTCTTGAAAAAGGGATAGTCGCGCACCCGCACGGATAGTTGCGCAGCTCTAACAAATCATGGGGGGATATTTGCGCTTTGAAGATTACCTAGGTGACTTACCATGAAATTTGTACTTTATTTAAATCAAACCAATTTGAAATTAATTTGATTAAATACTTATTTTAAAAATCGAATAGGCCTCCGAACCTTAATATTATTACTATTTCTAAAGTTATTGAGTGCTAAGTCATTATTTCAGTAAAAAAATTGTATCAACGCGTAGGTAGCATAAAAATGTATGTTGAACAACGTCCATATCTAGACTGTAATTTAGAAGCATTTTATCCATCTGCAACATACTAAAATAAACAAAAATTTCAATCTGCGCATCTATCCCCCAAAGCGCAACTATCCGTCCAAAAAACCTGCGCAAATATCCTTTTTGGTACGGATAGTTGCGCATTTAATTAAAGAAAAAATGATTTGATATTTTGGAATAATTAATAAATGGGCACATACTTTATAAAATAGTGCATATCAGGAAATAAAAATGTGAGCGATTCTACAATCGTGAGAAAAGATACCCGAAAAACAAAATGTGCTAAAATAATTTCGACGCCCGGTTTGTCCTCGCTACCGAAGATTTTTGCCTAAACTGGCGTAAATTGTGCAATTACTCCAATAATTAACGTGGTACTTGGGCTTTCAGGAGGAAGACTACTATGTTTTAATAAGCAATAGTGCTGAAATTCACTAGAACATAGTGTTTTCGAAACCTGCGCAACTATCCCAACGGCGCATCTATCCGTACTTTACCCTATAATAATTGTAACTTTGCATATTTTGGGTAAAATTGATTCAGTGCAGCCATAATCTGAATAATCATTTTAAACTCACTTGTTTTGTTTTCTATTATTTATTTATTTATTTTAATAAAATAGCTACGTAAAATTATTTTGTGGTCGCAAGCGTACTACGAAAAATCTGAAAATACACGTCACTTTTGAGTCTATAGAACTGTAGAGCAAACAAATAAACATCCTTATATAAATTAACTGAGTCATTAGAGACAATAGGAACTCAACTTGCCCCGGGACTAATCGATAGTTCCTGTTTTGCACGTTAGATAAAACAACGATGAATTCAGTCTGATAACAAACAGACGAGTAATCGGTGTTTATACAAGGTGTCCCTGTTTAAGTGGTCCAAAGAAAAAACTAGACTAGGTATGTTTAGTTTTTATCCAGATCCAGATATCCAGTTTTTTTTTTTTTTTTTTTTTAGCTTTGGACTACTTAAAAAGGGACTTCCTGTTTAAGAAAAAGGTAAAAAAAAATATCACATTTGCGTATACCCAACCAGCCCCTAATTCATTCTATGATAGACGGTTACCCAGTACGGTTGTCCAGTTGGTAGTGGCTTCGGCAGTCGGCAGTAGGTACAGATGTCGAGGGACGCAGGAGGACACAGGTTCAAATCCTGAATAAACTTAAAAAATAAGTGTTTTAAAATTTGGTATTGAAGTCATAGCGGGTTTTCATCGGCTACATTGAATCTGTAAAAAATAATTTAGTGGCTAGGAATCAGTTGCATATAGGGATTGCAATCCCGCACCTGATTCAATCCCGCGGGATTCATTTGCGGGATTAGGCCAATCCCGCGCGGATCCCGCGGGATCCCGCATATTTGTAACCATATTAAAAATCTAATTTATAATACAGATTTTTCTTCAAAAATCGTCAATAAAAATTAACATGATTGTCATGTGGAGCTAAAATAACAAAAAGAAATAGTGATAAGTGTAATCAAATTACATTTTTCGTACTAAGATAGAGCTGTGTTATATTTTACCCTTTATTCTTACTACTGCTTATATTAATTTGTTTAACCCTCTCTCATACATGTGAAAGGGGGGCAAGAAATGTTTTAATTTATCTGTAATATTGAGCAGGGTATCGTTGAATAGGTATTTGAAAACTACGGGAGAAAATGTTTCTATCTCAAGATATTTGCCTTTAAAAGGGGCGTTTTTGAGTCATAAATTATTCCTGCTGTAAGTACTAAGGCATAGAGGCTACAAATTTGAAAAATATAACAATATACTTAGGTCTCAATCTAGAGTTACCATGAAAAATATTATAACGTATACTGTATCAATAAAGTTTAAAAAATATATAAAAGGTTTTCTATCTTCGGTTAAAATTAACTTTCGAACGCTGAAAAACTTAATATGTTAACTACAAAACCATTTTTGTGGGCGTATCTGACACACCCTTAGGAAGTGTTTTTAATAATATGAATGAATCATAAGATATCATTGACTAAAAATCAGAATTAAGGGGCAAATTAGTCACTTTAGATTAAAACTTTTATTAGACTTATCAAATAACAAATTTTCAATTTACTTCCAACAGCTGGGAGTTGGGACTACCTATGGTAATAAGGTAACTTCTTCTTTTCGTGTGGGACACCGAGTCGTTCATCGACACGATGAACCCTGGTGTCAAAGTTTTTAAACCCTAGCGTCAACATTAATTAGAGGGTGTTAATAGTTTTACGAGTATCACCTAGCCTGCGTTACAGCGTAAGAAATGCTCTTTCAGCTTCTATTTTAATAGTTTAGAATGTTTTGATAGTTAGGATATATTTTTAGGAAATGAACGTCAAGTTTTCGCCATTCGGAAGTAAAAGTTGACTTGTTTTTTGGTTAGAATTTTCAATGTGCGGGATCCGCGGATCCGCGTTTGAAGGTGCGAGATCCCGCAAGGCCAAAAATAGCGCGGGATCCCGCGGGATCGCGGATCCCGCATTGCGGGATTGCAATCCCTAGTTAACTATCTCGGTAAGCGGAGTCCTGCTACGCGTTAGTGGCCAAGAAATACTTGCTTAGGTAGCCTAGTTGGAAGTGGCGTCGGCACTACAGAATGCCGAAGGTCGCAGGTTCAAATCCTGCCTGCGCGGTGGATTTGCAAGTTTACCAAAAGTACCAACTGTCACCGGGAATCAAACCCGGAACCTGATACGTCGCAGACATTCGCACTACCGCTGCGCCACATTGACTGTAAAAGTAGATACTTTGCATTGACGTCATCCGTTATCCGTTATATAAAACAGCCACACAAAGTAAATGAATTGTGCAGGTCCTGGTATCCGCCTGATCATGCAACAAGGCGATAATTTACGGTTATTGTTCTAGATTGATCTAGTAATTAATTGTCCTAGACCATTAATGATAATGTAGTCCACATTTGAATGATTTATCATCGCATTCTACAGAATTATCACCATAATCTACGAGACATCTTTGCATTCCTAAAAATTCAAAGTAGGTACCTATTAATTACCTACATTTTTGTTAAGTTTCTTTATAATTTCCTTACTTAATCAAACATAGTTAAAATATAACTTTGAGAATTTCCAGTCACTAGATTTCAAAGTTCTTTGATCTCAAATTGGTTGAATATGACTTTTTTAAAGATTATCCGGAAAAGTTGTCATTGTCATCTAGAATTCCGAAAAATATCTCAACCTCAACAACCTTCAGTGAGGATTAAGGCGAAAAATACACGTAACGTGCGTTTGCGGTAGCTGATGTGTCTGTCGAACAGTGTGACATACCGTATTTGTATACAGGGTGAAATTTTTCTAGTGACCGATAGCGAAAACTCAGAACCGGCTGGTGATAATAAGAAACAACTTTCCCCAAGGAACATAAGGTGAAATATAAAAAAAAAAATCGGTCTCCCATACAAAGCTGCCGACCAGCTGGTTTGAGTTACTATAGGAGGTCCAATTTTTTTATTTTTTTCGACCTATGTTTCTTGGATAAAGTTGTTCCTTACCACCAACTGGTTCAGAGTTTTCGTTATTACTAAATTTTACTATTCGTCACTAGTAAAATTTCACACAGTATAGAAGAGAGAAAGAGAGAGAGAGAGAATAAGGTGAAAACTCGCATTTACCTAAGCCTATAACCAAAAACAACGACAATCGGACGTTACGCGTGTTTGTTGTCTTAGTTCTCGGTGAAAGTTGTTCAGTTAACGTTTTTGGTATAGTCAACCATTTGGTACCTTTCTGTACCTGTCTGTATTGATAACAGTGGGACTTTTGTCTTGTATTGTAAATTCCTTTTTATTGTTTAAATAGTTATGTGCTATGTTGTGATATGGGTCAAGGAAATCTATTTATTATATTTAAGTAAATATAAATAACATTCGTTTATAACAATAACACGGATTTACAGATTATCACAAGGCACGTGTTGTTTTATTATACTTACTTCACTATTTCTTGATAAATCATTGTAGGCAAAAGTACAAAACGATCGAAAACTGTTCCAAAGCTTGGTACCTACAGATAGATTGCTAGAAATATTTAATAACGTAACAATGTTATTGATACCAGTATATACAGGGTGTAAGGGATGGTGTACCGAAAACTTTGCAGGCATGATCTGACCATCAAACTAAACAACTTTTACTATGGAAACGAAAAAAAAAATCCGACCTCCCATACAAAATTCAAGATCAGCTGACTGACTTTGTATGGGAGCTCTGATTTTTTTTTCCGACCATTGGCTCTATAGTATTTGACTTGTACAGTTACATGGTCTGAGTATGCCTGCAAAGTTTTCGTTACACCGTATCTCACGTCGTGCTCAAAGTAGACACCTACAATTCTCGACTGATAGATATAACTTTGGTTCTAAGACCTGAAATTAATTAATTTCCAAATTCTTAATCTTAAGAGCAAGCCAAGAGCTATAATATGCCAACAAAATCTTTCCGAGATCTTTGACAAAATTATAGCACGTAATTAAAAAAAAAAAGAAAAATACCAGCCAAGAGCGTGTCAGACACGCCCACAAATAGGGTTTCGTAGTCAACGTTTAAATATCAGGTTTTTCAGCATTACAAACTTAATTTTGTTGATGGTTTGATAGCAGCAGTATGATGACAAACCGCAAATAGAAAAACTCATTTTTTTCTGAAACCTTTAAGGGTACAATATCCGTTATAGTTTTCATTGTAAGTTCAGATTGTAAGCTATATTCCATATTTATTTCAAATTTTTAGCGTTTATACTTTAGAAGTTACAGCTGGAACAAATTATGGGTCAAAAACGCCCTTTTTAAAAGCAAATATCTCGTGACAAAAACATTTTCGTGACTTTGTTTCAAAGAAACCTCACCTTAGTTTTAAAAGACCTATTCAACGATACCCTACTCAACATAACAGAAGAAAAAACAAATTTTTGTCCCCCTTTCACTTGTATGGGAGGGGGTCCAAAAAACATTTAAAATAATTTTTTCTTAACATTTCTATATTTGGGTCAACACGATCTATCTTCTCACCAAATTTCATGTCGATAGCTCTAAAACTGACGCAGATATGAGAGCGCGGCATACAGACAGACAGACAGACAGACATGACGAAACTATAAGGGTTTCTAGTAGACTACGAAACCCTAAAAATACCTTCTTCCTATTTATTTATTCATCAGCTTGTTAAAGGCAACTTGTACGAAAAATTGTATTTTGGAATGTCAACAAAATCAAGTACAAAATATATCGTTGTAGGTTACCTATTTATTTAGGACCCGAAATCCCGTCCGAATATGACATCAAAGATTTTAGTCCAAGTTATTTGGATACATTGTGTTACAAGCAAATCACAATTTCTATGATTTGACTTTCCTTTTGGGACAAGCCCCACAAAATAGATACGCGACGCTATCTGTCAAACAAGCGATCAAGATCCGTTAGGTATCGATGCGACGCGCGTCTTACGTAGCTTTGTTTCTCCTGTTTCATACATTTAAAAGGAAACGGTTTCAAGCGTCGCGATGTCGCACATCTCACGTCTCCGACAGTCACTTGTTTAGCAGATGCCATCTTACGTTTAACGTCTACTCTGTGTAGCTTGCGCCAAGTGATAGGTTACTTTTAGGGTGCAAATACACACAACCATTTTGAATTTAAATTATTTAATTTAATTTATTAGCTAAAATATCACAGTTTTCTAATTCAATAGCCGTGTTGTTTGTACCCGCCGTGGTGCTGTTCGTGTCCACCGAAGTTGTTGTTTCCGAAACTCTCGTGGCTGTGGCCACCGTGGCCACCGTGGCTTCCGAATCCCTGGCTTCCGTGGCTGCCGAAACCGCTGTCGTGACCGCCGAATCCGTGCTGTCCGTGGCCGCTTTCACCGAAACCGTGGGATTGCTGTCCATGTCCATGCTGACCGAAACCCTGCTGCCCGTGACCACCTTCTCCTAGCAATTGTCCTCCTCCGTGACCGAATCCTTGCTGGCCGTGACCGAACCCTTGCTGACCGTGGCCAAATCCTTGTTCATGATGTGATCCACCGTGGGAGCCTCCGTGCCCGCTTTGATGTCCTCCGAAACCAGAGTCATATTCGTTGCCACCGTAGCCACCGCCACCGTGGCTGCCGCCTCCGTAGCCACCGGGATGGGGAAGAGCTGCAAAAAAATATGAACCGTCAATATTTTGTAAACTATTTAATAGTATCGAAATTTTCCTATGTTGGTATGGTACTACAGTTCAGTCACGAAATTTTCAACTATATGTATGAGGCAAGTTACGCAGAAAATCTTTAAGGGTATCATCCACCATCAACCATCCTAAATTCCACGACTGTTCTGGTTCAGACCAAAGATGATTGATTTAAACTCACCAGAAGCTGCTACGGCTACTGCAAGCACGATACACGCAATCTGAAAGTAATAAATAATAATTAAATACTTTAATCAAACTAAATGTCTATAAAACATTGATTTTCTTCGCTCGAAAGCGTATACGAGTGCAGGATACAAAGAAATAACTCCAAAAATTAGGTACACTTTCGAACTTTTGAAAGCTTCCTTCCCAAAAAAAAACCGGTCTTATAAAAAAAACACTTTAACCCACGTGACAAAACGCTAATAACTATTCAAATTTCTAAAAACTTACTTTGAATGCCATATTATAAATTTCGATACTGATCAACAGGAAAACATAAGCGGACTGTGCCAAAACATCCAGCCTCCTCGTTATATACGGCTCCTTATCACTCTATTAGCGAAATGACCTCAGCGTGTTGTTTTATTAATATTTGTTGTTGTTGTTACCGATACAAGTTTCTGCTAACGTATCTCTTTTTGATTGGTACGGTTAGCCATGAAAGCGAGCCGCGAACCACCGGTTTTGATGAAAATCTATACGTAGGTATACCTAGAGCTGCCCAAACGTCAATAAGGCAAGAAACTCATACATGTAAAGTCCGTTGGTGCGTTATTTTTGCGTAGCGCTGTCGCAAGCGTTAGGAGCCTGCGAATTTTCATCTTATTTTAATACAAATACGGTTTATGTCAAAGAAATACGGTTTATGATATCTTCGAGTAGCAGATGCGTCTGTCAAACACAGATGCATCTGCTAGCGTTGCGCATCACACAACGATGTGTCGACGGATGCGTCTGTCAAACCGTTTGAATTAAACCGTATTTGTATGAAAAAGGGTTACGCTATAGTATCATATAATATAATTGGAAAAAAGGTGGATAATCGCAGTATGAGAATAAGGACGAAAATGCGAATAACGCATGCTTTACGCAGCTCAAAAATAACGCACAAACAGACGTTATATGTGTTTCTCGCCTAAGGTTCACATTTAAACAGGTTTACAGAGGAGAAAGCTTTTATCGTTCAGGAGACGTATTTTTGATATAATTGCAGACGGAAGTCTGCCACAAGTGCTCTATCAACTCATTCTACACTTTCTACTACTAGAATTTTTTCATGGACAGGATATTTACGAGGACGCGCTTTGAGGAGCAGCGTAAAGCAGACCTCGACGCTAAACGCGATGAATTAAAGACCCGTCCTCCCGCCGCCATTAACTAATGTATGATTATCTCAATGGCAAACTCACGTGTCTACAATGTGCATGAGAGTTTACTGTCAAAATTGGCTACAATTTCAACTACTAATAGACGTCGACTTGTAGAAGGTGGTCCCCATTGTCGAAATCGTTTAAAGAGATTATCATCATTGTGTAAATGG